CCCGCGCTCCTATATATTAGTGTATGTAACTTATACTTCTAAAGTGCTATAGATAATTATCCAAGGCAATGCATAAATCAAAATATATAGCAATCATGAATTACTATACCTAGTGACTCAAACAGTAAATATAAATTATGATCTTCATGCAGGTGACATTAATGACTAGCAATCCTAAGGTGATGGTGCCTTAAGAGGTACAATGGTATACAGATCAATAAATGTCTAAAATAATGCACCTCTATTCTGCTGTGATCACTCTATTCATATTGTGCAGAAACATATAAAAATTGTGCACGTGCATATAATATAGTAAGTAAAAGTATATATAAAGTCTTTCAAAATAAATGTGCAGGTGGATTCTTTGTTCCCTCTCGCCGAGTGCTTAGTGGTCTCCCTATGTGCTCACCTCTATATTTGCCTGAATGAATCCAGGCAAATACGCTTTTTATCCTTCCAGGATAGATGAGATGGGATGATGCTCTTGTTCTAGTTGTCTCAGAAGGTGGATGTGGATTTAAATGGGTTCTCCTGTTCTCTCCTTTATCCCCTTGTGTAGCTGCTCATGAATGGATATACTGACCAGCTCTCTGAGGATCTCCTATTTCCCCTCCTGGGGTTGTTTCCTTCTCCAATCCTCCTTATACCAGCTCAAGGGGTGTTGGTCAATTGAAAAAAGGAAGAAAACAGACCATGGTGCCTTATCTTTGTGCATAAAAGGAGATTTATTGCTGCCAGTTAAGGTGTTGCACAATAGTATACAGCTCTGTTGTAATCCAGGTCAGCATAGATGACAATCTACAGGTATACTCTGCATCTGCAGTGCTGTCTGCCTGCGTCTGTACTCGGATCACCGAGCCTCTCCAGTGCAACGTCGTGACGTCAGAGCCCCTCCCCTACGCGTTGCGTCACAGGGTCACGTGACTTCATCAGGGGGAAATGATTGGATCCAATCAAGAGTATACCTGTAGATTGTCATCTATGCTGACCTGGATTACAACAGAGCTGTATACTATTGTGCAACACCTTAACTGGCAGCAATAAATCTCCTTTTATGCACAAAGATAAGGCACCATGGTCTGTTTTCTTCCTTTTTTCAATTGACCAACACCCCTTGAGCTGGTATAAGGAGGATTGGAGAAGGAAACAACCCCAGGAGGGGAAATAGGAGATCCTCAGAGAGCTGGTCAGTATATCCATTCATGAGCAGCTACACAAGGGGATAAAGGAGAGAAACAGGAGAACCCATTTAAATCCACATCCACCTTCTGAGACAACTAGAACAAGAGCATCATCCCATCTCATCTATCCTGGAAGGATAAAAAAGCGTATTTGCCTGGATTCATTCAGGCAAATATAGAGGTGAGCACATAGGGAGACCACTAAGCACTCGGCGAGAGGGAACAAAGAATCCACCTGCACATTTATTTTGAAAGACTTTATATATACTTTTACTTACTATATTATATGCACGTGCACAATTTTTATATGTTTCTGCACAATATGAATAGTGTGATCACAGCAGAATAGAGGTGCATTATTTTAGACATTTATTGATCTGTATACCATTGTACCTCTTAAGGCACCATCACCTTAGGATTGCTAGTCATTAATGTCACCTGCATGAAGATCATAATTTATATTTACTGTTTGAGTCACTAGGTATAGTAATTCATGATTGCTATATATTTTGATTTATGCATTGCCTTGGATAATTATCTATAGCACTTTAGAAGTATAAGGCTGTCAGTCACTGTTTTTTGCTCTGCCCCTCCAGCACTCACTGGATTGCTGGGCTGGGAAGGAAGAGGGGAAAAGCAAGAGTGGCTGGCTCTGGCTCTCAGTGGAGTGCTGAGAGGCCGAGCCAACTGCCGGTCAGGCATCTGGGTGGATCCCACCAATTATTGTCGGGATACATCTAGAAACTGCAGCGGCTCTGTGACGACAGCCAACAGCAGGCTTTAGCCCACTCTTGGATGATTCTGGATCACAGGAGAGCACACGTATGTGCACTCCTGTGACCCAGAAGAGAAGTGTGGCCAAAAAAGCGTTGGCCATACTTCTCTTTTAAAGTCATCAATGATAACTTTGGAAAGAGAAGATTGTACAGCACAACTGCAACTACAGATACTACAAATACTATTTAAATAATTAATATTCAAAGCAAACTCCCCCAACCATCCACAAAGATTTTCAAATGAAAATTCACTAATGTATAGTCAGCCTAACTTTTAGAATCAAATACCAAGTAATGACAAGGGAATGTCAAGCTGTCCGTCACCTAACTCTTGCTAAACAGCAGCACATAAAATCTATCTGTTAGTGTCTGAGATTTAAATAGAGGAATAGAGGCATGAAATCAGTAGATGTTCTGCTGCCGAATACTGTAATGACACCATGAAGTTAAACAGTAAAAGTAATTCTGACATTGTTTCAAACTGGTCTACAGCATTTAGCCTGCAAAAACCTGCAATAACAAAGGAACGAAGGCCTCCCATAGCTTGATATATCTAAATTTTTTTACCAATATATAAGACATAAACCTACCCATTCCTTCCGTGTCCATATCACTGCTATCAGAGCGGATGCTGGAAGCTGATCTTCTCAGCGGCATTCTTCAATCACATTTAAGAAGGAAAAGAAACAATTATTATGGACAGTAATTGTGAAGGTAATTCAACTAATTAGATCAACACATCAATCATCAAAGAGTGCCTGTCACCAATCCATAAATGCACATTTATATTGCAATAAATAAGTAAATACCATTATATTGCTATGTCCTGATGGTAAATATGGATACTGGTACCCACCAATATTTCTGTAAGGGCCCATTCACACCAGCAGTGTTGCCCAATGCACTTCAAAGCAAGAACAAGGCATTTTGCCTTATGTCTTTTAGTTTTAGTTCACTGGAGTGTGCTGCATCAGGTGCACTGAAAAGAAAAAAATGGGAGTGGTGGCATTTTTGCACAGTGTGCTCCAATACACTTCAATCCATTATAAAAGAAGTTAAAAAAAATGAAAGCATTACAATGTATGTTTGCAATGAACTGCAGTGTTGTTGTCAGTGCTGGGACAAGGTCATCCAGTGCTCAGGGCAAAGATGAGAAATTGCACCCCTTTCCCCAGGTGAAAAAGCTGGATGGAATAGGAGCAATAGTTGCACATGCTGAAATGTACATATTATTTGTGGCATACGATGAACAAGTACCAATGTTTTTGGTACACTGAAGCAAATTGAAGAGTTTAAAATTGTTGTACAAATATTGGGCTTTCAGCGTTGAAGAAAAACATTTTCTTGAGTTAGTGGTGTCACTGGAAAAAAAAGTCCCTGCATTTGTGGTTTCACTAGAAGGAAAAAATGTCACTGTAACTGTGGTGTCACTGATTTCCAACAAAAAAAAGGCCAGCTGACAGGAGTGACACTGCAGTCACTACAGTCAGGGAGGCACAAGAAGAAAGGAGCTGCTGAAGCTCCATGTGCTCCCCCCCCCACCACCCCATATAGAGACACTGTGCCTAGGGCACATGACCCTTCTGCCCACCATTGCCCTGGCCCTGGTTACAATGCACATCAGTGCACGTGTGTTATGCACCATAACACACATCCGTAGGTGTGAATGAGCCCTTTAGGTGAAATGTAAAGATGTGAGATCTGTTTATTGCATACATACCTAGATATACAAGTTCCTCTACTGGAACTAAGGACTTATTTATTATGGCAGTGCAAAATTCAATGGCTGTATTACATGTACACCAATACAAAGCAACCAGTCAGATCCCAAGGAAACCCAAACTGAAAGAAATACAAGGGCTTCCATTATTGAACTCTTTCTGAAAATGCTAGTTGTCTGGCTGCCTTACTCATCCCCTGACTTCAAAACTTTGTGTGTTGTACCCAGAACAAGCATGCAGTAAGTGGTGTTTGTTCTAAGCCAGGCCCCCAGAAAGTGATACTTGTCCTGGGTCAGGGTCTCAAAAAGTTTTGAAGCCACTGGATTAGCATGATGGTCAGGGAACTAGCATTTTCAGAAAAAGGTCAACAAAGGCTCAGGAGTTCTGTGGTTACATGACAATCCTGTTTAGGGCCATGAAGAAAAAAAAGAGAGAGCAACACACTGACAGCCTGGACCTAGGAAAATGATAGAAATCGTTTGAAGCTCTCTAAATGCCCAAATTGTTTTATTCCCTGAAACTAATCTGGGACTGCATTGGACACACTGTATATGCAACACATAAGCACAGGACAAGGGACATTGTACTCTAAATATACCCAGATAAACCATGCAGAAACTCCTATTGTCTAATCCAATATACTCTATATTGACAAAAGTATTGGGATGCCTACGTTTACACACACATGAACATTAATGGCACCCCAGTCTTAGTCCATAGGGTTCAATATTGAGTTGGCCCACCCTTAGCAGCTATAACAGCTTCAACTCTTCTGGGAAGTCTGTCCACAAGGTTTAGGAGTGTGTCTATGGGAATGTTTGACCATTTTTCCAGAAGCGCATTTGTGAGATCAGGCACTAATGTCAGACGAGAAGGCCTGGCTCATGGTCTCTGCTCTAATTCATCCCAAAGGTGTTCTATCGGGTTGAGGTCAGGACTCTGTGCAGGCCCGTCAAGATCCTCCACCCTAAACTAACTCATCCATGTCTTTATGGACCTTGCTTAGTGCACTGGTGCATAGTCATGTTGGAACAGGAGGGGGCCATCCCCAAACTGTTCCCACAAAGTTGGGAGCATGAAATTGTCCAAAATGTCTTGGTATGCTGACGCCTTAAGAGTTCCCCTCACTGGAACGAAGGAGCCAAGCCCAACCCCTGAAAAACAACCCCACACCATAATCCCCCTCCACCAAACTTTACACTTGACACAATGCAGTCAGGCAAGTACCGTTCTCCTGGCAACCGCCAAAACCCAGATACGTCCATTGGATTGCCAGACAGAGAAGTGTAATTCATACCTCCAGAGAACACGTCTCCACTGCTCTAGAGTCCAGTGGCATGCCGCTACTTTACACCACTGCATCTGAAGCTTTGCATTGCACTTGGTGATGTAAGGCTTGGATGCAGCTGCTCGGCCATGAAAATCCATTCCATGAAGTTCTCTACGCTCTCTCTGTTGTTGTGCTAATCTGAAGGCCACATGAAGTTTGGAGGTTTTTAGCTATTGACTCTGCAGACAGTTGACCCCGTTCTGTCATTTTACATGGCCTACCACTTTGTGGCTGAGTTGCTATTGTTCCCAGTTGCTTCCACTTTGTTATAATACCACTAACAGTTGACCATGGAATATTTAGTAGCAAGGAAATTTCACGGATGGACTTACTGCACAGGTGGCAACCTATCACATTACCACACTTGAATTCACTGAGGTCCTGAGAGCGACCCATTCTTTCACAAATATTTGTAGAAGCAGTCTGCATGCCTAGGTGCTTGATTTTATACTCCTGTGGCCATGGAGGTAAATGGAACACTTGAATCCAATGATTTGGATTTGTGTCCTAAGGCTACGTTCACACTAGCCTTGTTAGCAAGTGGCAGACAGGCGTTTGGGAAGCGTTTTTACCGTTTCCCAAACGCCTGGGAAAATCTGCACATTGCAGCGCATAGTGCTGTTCAAACGGGAGCGTTAGCGTCGCGGCAAAACGGACGCCTCTGGTCGAGTAAGGAGGAGTTGAAGCCTCCTATTCAAGTCTATGGTGCCGCTCCGCAAACGCCCGGCCGGAGCTTTAACACCATTCAAAATAGGCATTTGTGGGGCGTTTTTAACGCTTGGCAAACGCCTAGCAACCACCGCTAAACTGCGCATGCGGCGTTTGCGGAACGTTAAAAACGCTCCGCAAACACCGGACCAACGCTTGTCAAACGCTATAGGGGCGTTTGGCAAGAATTGGAGAAACAGTCAAGTGTGAACGAGCCCTAATACCTTTGGCAATATACTTTTTCAATATAGTATAGGTTACTTTGATTAGGCCATGAAAAAATTAAACCTGGTTGCTATGGGCTACATTACTGTAATTTAATATTTGAATATAATTCTTCTGGTAGAAGTTTGACTAAAAGTACAGATGTGATTAGGTGGGACAGGAATGTTGTTTGTTTTCCTCAGTCATACAGCCTTATCTTTTATATTTTACAAAAAAATGGGTAATTTATTGCATTTGTGTGCCCTAAAATGAGCTTGTGTATTTTTTTTTGCATTTCCTAGACCCTTACAGTAATATTGTGTGATATAAAAAATTGGAACTACCACTATTTTATTCCCTAGTGCGTCTGCCTTCAGAAAATATAAAATGTTTTGGAGGTTTATGCAAAAAACACAAAAAATCTCTGGCAATGAAAGGGTTTTTAGGCTAAGTTTACACTTGCAAAAAATTCTAATGCTGACACCAACATGCCTATAGCATTAGATTTGGTTCACACCAATGCGGTTTTTTTTTTTGCTTTTTGCAGAAATGCACTACAATCCATTTAACTTGGTTTCCTACGGGACATGTTCACATCTATGCGTTTTTCAGCCACTGCGTTTTTTGGAAAGTGTCCAGGACTTTTTTAAACACAAAAAAAGTTGCGTTTTTGCTACAATAGTGTTCAATGGAGACGCTGCTGAAACGTATGTAGTGTGTTTTTTGCCATGTTATTGCAGCGTTTTGTGTTTCTATTCTGCCCAGCAACAAAAACATTTCCCCTTTAGCAAGACCAAATGCAAACGCAGTATAAACGTGGCAAAAGCATGTGCGTAAAAACGCAAATGCAAAAACGGATCAAAAGCAAACTGCGCTGGTGTGAACCAGGCTTTAGGCTGGCCATACACTATACAATTTTCTGTCCAATTTCTGCCCAATTTCCTTTACATTTACCTTCAACTATGTAGTGCAAGATCCTGCCTAATTGGATACAATTGAAATTGTTGTTAGTTTTTACCTCCTTTTTTATGGTTTTTGGTAAATCTAAACCATAAATCTCAAGAAAATTGTATATTGTATGGCCAGCCTTAGTGTGCATTTTTGATGCATTTAGCACACAGTGCACTAAAAAAAGAAACACACCCCATTCACCTTCCAACTGATTTTTCTTTTCTTTTTAAGGTTGCTTTCACACTGATCCATTTTTCTTCCACTTTTGTATTACAAAAGACAACAGAAAACTGTGTGACCATGTATTTCTATGGAACTCTTCACACTGATCTGTTGCGGGTCCGATGTGTTTTTCAAAGTCCTGCTTGCTGCATTTTTTGGTGCAATAAAAAAAAACACACCAAAGATGCCCCCCCCCCATTGAAATCAACAGAAAACGTGGCAAAAACACATCAGTAACGCATCAAAAACGCACACAGCATTGCAAAGCAATGCAAATGATACACGTTTTTCAAATGTGCTCAGCTCTGACCACTGCCCATATTATTCATTTTAGGCTGCTTTGCTAGGCATTGGGGGAGTGGCAAAAATGCGTCCCAATCGCCTGTTTGTAATGTCAGTGTGAACAGGACCTAAGGACCGCTGAGAATGGATATTTAGGGGTTAATGACTGCTAGAATTGACATATTTATATCTACAGTCCCATATCTATACATAGAAGATGATATAAAGTCTGATATCTACATGTCTGGACATGGCACTGCTGATTGTTATTGGTGATGGAGATCTCCCCTGTGACCAGTACCTGATTCCCGGAGAGATGATGAAGTTTTGGGAAGTAGTCAGTGCTGAGTCTGTACTGCAGTAAGTGTGGAGCTTGGCTCAGTGTTGTCAGTGATGTTTGCTTGGAGATTGTATCCAGGAAGTAGCAGGTCAGGGAAATCCTCCACCAATCACAGCCGGGCTGGGAGGGACAGCACGCAGCTCTGTGTCGCCTTCTGGTTACCTAGCAACCCCAGTACACAAAGGAAGATTGTGGTTGTAGAAAGTAACTTGTATCATTTCTCCTTCCGCTTTACATTTATTGGAATGGAGAACCCAGAGAGAGAGTGAAGAGGGAACACTGAACATATTCATTATTCTATTGGTGAGGGGGGGGAGGTCATTAACCACTTGCCCTCCAGAGGATTTATCCCCCATCCTGATCAGGCCATTTTCTGCGATAAGGCGCTGCCTTACTTTAACTGACAATTGCGCAGTCATGCAATGCTGCACCCAAATTAAATTTATGTCCTTTTTTCCCCACAAATAGTTTTATTTCGATGGTATTTGATCACCTCTGTGCTTTTTATTTTTTGCGCTATAAAAAAAGGCCGACAATTTTGAAAAAATTATATTTTTGACTTTTTGCTATAAAACATATCCAGTAAAAAAAATTTTTTTAAATTAAATTTCTTTATAAATTTAGGCAAAAATGTATTCTGTGGCATGTCTTTGCTAAAAAAAAATTCCCAATATGTGTAAATTAATTGGTTTACATGAAAGTTATATCGTCTACAAATGGCAGTATATATACTGGAATTTTTATTTATTTATTTTTTTTTATACTAGTAATGGCTTCGATCAGTGACTTATAGTAGGACTGCGGGATTGCGGCGGGCATTCTGACACTGGGGGGAACTGACTAACTGCCACTGACATCTAATACAGTGATCAGTGCTATTAAAAAGCATTGACATTGTACGAATGACACTGGGCAGGAAGGGGTTAAATATTGTATTTGTCCCCATAAGCCCTCTATTCCATGATTATGAGTTTATAATCCAACGCCTGTGTGAATGAGCCCTTCTCAAATTGCAGGGATGGACTTCAGGCAAAAAACATGAAACACAGCCATTTCTTGTCAAACGTTGCAGTTTGCATTCAAACGCATGTGCTTATGTTGCGTCACATTCAAATAGAAAAGGCTTCATCTGATATTAAAGTATACGTTCACCTTTTAGAAAAAAAATAATAAATGCACATTTTTTTGCAGGTAAAAAAAATGTGCATTTATTATTTTTGTCTGCATCAGTAGATCAGTGGATCGTGGTCCCATGCAGGTCTCCTGCAGACCTATCAGTATATCTACTTGCCGTACGGGATGTATGAGCAAGCCGATATACTGACAGGAAGCTTCAATGAACTACTGCGGTGCTTCACAGTGCCGTGGTAGTTCATTGAGGACTATAAGCTGACAGCTGCTAAGGCTGCTGGGACTTGTAGTCTCTCATTCACAGAGGACTGTAAATGAATGACGCGGCCGTGTGAGCAGAGAAGATTGGCAGCACAGTGGCTAAATGGTTAGCACATCAGCCTAGCAGTACTAGGGTCATTGGTTCAAATCCCAACCATGGCACCACCTGCCTGAAGTTTTGCGTGGGTTTCCTCCGGGTACTCTGGTTTTCTCCTAAACTCCAAAGACATGCTGGTAGGTTAATTGGATCCTATCTAAATTGGCCCTAGTATGTGTATGTATGAATGTGACTTAGGGGCCTTAGATTGTACACTCCTTGATGGTTAGGGACTGATGTGAATGTACAATATATATGTAAAGTGCTGTGTAGATTGATGGTGCTATTTAAGTACCTGACATAAATCCCCTGCTAGCTGTCAAAGCGGGGATCAGGGGCCTGTCTGAACATAACATGTTAGACCCTGAATATGGGTGTAATATGTAACATGTTACAAAAGGTGAACTTATCCTTTGTATTAATGCACCTATAGCATTAATGAGTGGCTTGTACGCGTTGTACAGGCTTTGCAGCACTCCTCAATCACCCTGTGAGATTTGTTCTTTATTATTTGTTATAAGACTAAAATGACCAATGATCACTTTTGATGCTTTGCAACCGCAACTTAAATGCACTGTAAATCCTACAGACGTTTGTGGCGCATTGCAATAGAAGTGAATGGAGGCAGTTCGTTGCAAAGCGTCAACGCCTGCCAAACTCTGTAGACAACATTATTTTTGCCTCACCACAACAGGAGGCAACGCTAATGCTACAGTGTGAAAACCTGCATCCGCTCCCTATTTTAACAATTTTGAGTGGCATTGATAGGCGTTTGAGAAGCCTTTAGGCTACTTTCACACTACTCCATTGAAAAAATGTGTTAAAAATGCATATGTGTTTTTTTATGTGTTTCCAATGCGTTTTCTGGTTGCCTGACTCCAATCATGCACCTATGGACACAGGGCTGCTGTTAGATACCATGAGGCCCCATACAGCCAATATGAACCCCCCCCCCCCCCCCCCCAATCAAAAAAACAAGAATAAAACACAATTATGAATGAACACAGGGAGTGATCGGTATCAATCACTCATTGTGTTCATTCAGGAAAGGAAGGGGGTTGTAAATGTGACATATTTATCAGACCCTTCCCCCACTCTCCATATTAAGGGATCCTATTTTGTGTTTGCAGTTGCCGGTGGGAGGAGAGGAGGGAAGGTGGCAGCACTGGGGTGGTGGGGGCACACAGGGGGGCCTGGGCAGTAGGGTAAATGTATGGTGCACAGGGAGGGTA